GGGGGGGGGGGGGGGGTTCTTAGCCGTACAGGAGGAAAATTATTACGAGGGAGTGGTATATTATATATGTGATGTTGTGTTGTTGTTCACGCGGCTGTTATGCATATGTTATGTTGTGTTGTGTTGTGTTGTTGTTCAAGTTGAAAATGTTCTCGAGTGAGTATTTCATAATTTCCAATTTCCAGGCCGCGCGCAAGCAGATTTATATCCCATGAACTTGCTCTCACCAAGGCATGTGGTACAACACGGTGACTCAACGCACCCAGACATGCGCAGAGCGTAATGGGGCCAGATTGCTCAAACGACCACAAGGGAAGTGAGCTTTGGATTATCGCTAATAGACACCCATTAACAACTCCGTAGGGTGCTCAACAACATTATTGGTATAACCATCAATAGGTAATCTATAGGTATTAACCACTTGTAACCTGAGTTGTAGAAGTGCAACGCTAACAATGGGGGATTTCAAAGAAAGAGGCCTGAAACGCTAACAATGGGCGCTCTGGGGGACAAGCTAAGGCTGGTCGTGTCAAGGCGTGGAGGCTAGATAGATATTAAGTGTAGAATTTTCCAGTATTTAATATTGATTCTAACAATTCGTCAAATGAGAGTTTTTCAAAGAACAAGGTGTGTGAGCTCAGCGGCTTGAGAACTCCTCTTATACATCCCTGTCTACTTATCGTTATAATTATGCCAACAGATAATCACATATGTTTGGATAAGTCCATCTTTGATCCCATTTTATAACATGCATCGTAACTATTCACTACGTTTAACGCTCGTCATGCAAATCTAACTTTCAGTCACCGTCTATGGAGGCAGAAATCAAATTAGATTTTCCATTGATTTCTTCAGTGACAAAACTTTATGCTCCAGGCTGAACATACGCGACATCCTGCGTTGTCTGTACTTATAATCAGGTGGATATAAACTGTCCAGAACTATTTCGTCTGTTTCAGGCTCAGGGTCAACGTCCAAACTCGCTCCAATCTACACAGAAAATTGAAACAATATATATACCATCAGTTACCGTGTGCTGAATTTATTCCCAAAGTTAAGTTCCCGTAAAAGAGTAATGGAGAAAAGGAGATCTTGAAATTGACGTTTGTGCCGCACCGCTAACCGCAAAGTGCAAACCTCAAGTCGCATTCGAAGGTAAGACATGCCACTGTTTGAAAGCTAAGTAGATAACTCATATTTAATGCAGAAATGACTCTAATTTTGTAAAGCTAGTTGTAGTTTGCCATTATTTAATTGTGGTTGGCAGTCTGCCGTACACGATACTCAATCTTAATGTTCCTAATTTCTCGGTTATACAACGGCATATATTTTTTTCTCTAAAGAGGAGGTACTTTAATAGATTTGTTCCAGGAGGTAGCTAACTATAGCTGAGGGGTATTATTAGGCGAAGGCAAACGGAGTCTTCGGGGTCCTCACTTCCAGTAGTTTCAAGGAGGAGCTCTTAGTGAGCTCCATTTATTTCTTGGGCAAGAACTAGGGTGAAAATTGGCGGAAATTCACGCTCAGTTCCAGTCCCTTTCTATTGTTTTGTCCGCTCCGCGTTGACACGAACCT